GACCCTAAAAGGCCAAGCGTCACATCAGACTCACGACAGAAAGCTGTTAATATGTGTGACTGATGTCACATTGATCAGACGTGTCAAGAGAGCTGGGCTCCATTTCATCAGTACTGTTGAGAGTCTATGAAACTTGAGTCAGAGCGTGCGTGTGCAGGGGTGAAGTCACAGAACTGGATTCCAGAAACTAGATTCCTCCATTACTCACACAACACACAAACTCACAAACTATGATCCTACACTACTTTTCTAAGCAAGGACAGACCATATTTGATTTTATTAGAGACAGAAACAGAAATAGTTCTGTTTTGTGAACACGCAGTGTCATTAGATTTAGGACAGTTTAAGCCACATACCACCCCTCAGGATAAGGAGGATTTGCAAATACATAATTGATTTATGACAGAATTATGGCTACAACCACAAACAAGAAACTCATCTTCTATACTAGAGTACAGTCAGAGAGAAGCACACACTGAACAACTCAATAAATAAAGAAGACAGCACATGAGATGACGGGTAAACTGTGATAAGAGTCACCTCTCTGGGCAACTCCAGAAATCACAACATGGGTTCTTGCCTGTGGCTTTACCAAAAACAGATATCCATCAAAACAGTTTGCCTTGCTGATTTATACTACAATTTGTGCGGAAAATGCAAATAAACAGATGAATCATGAGTGGACAGCTTCCCGCCCATTCTGGTCTTGAATGGTTGACTGAACAGTTGAAAAACCAAATTGTTGCTGGCCATTTCTCCTGCATTGTTCATGCTACAAGGACCTTCAAAGTAAGGGGGAAAAAAATAAACTACTCTTGGCTGTCCATCCACAAATTGTTGGCCTATGCGTGCTGGGCTTTCATTTTGTAATCCCTTTCTAAAACTAACCAAATCTGGTCTTACAAAACAAGAAATACTTTCCTACTCTTTTCATGAACTGAATTACTGTATATACAAAGTCACTTTGCTGCTTATGCTTCCCCATCCAAAGTGTTAAAAATATCTTCCCTGTTTGTTTACCACTCTGTGACACATGCTGCTAGAGTCAGCACACCTACAAAGTGATGATTAGACCTAGAGACTTTAAAGATTATCTATATTTATACAGAGAGTAAGCAGGTCCTGAAAAACAAGGTCCAAATTACCAACGTGTACGCCCTGCCAGTCATCAGATACCCCACTGGTATGATAAGCTGGCCAAAGGAGGAGCTAGAAGACACTGATATCAAGACAAGGAAGCTTCTCACAGTGCATGGAGAGTTTGATCCCAAGTCCAGCACCCTGAGACTGTACACTAAGCAGAACAAGGGAGGCTGAGGACTGGAGAGCATCAGAGCCACTGTCCAGGATGAAACAACCAAGATCCAGGAATGCATCAGGAAGATGGCCCCAAAAGATGAGCTGCTAAGTGAATTCCTCAAGCAGCAGACACCCGATAATGCAGAAGAGGAGGATGAACCATCATGCAAGGACAAACCCTGGCATGGCATGTACCACCGACAGACTGAAGAAGTGGCCGACATCAAGAAATCCTATCAGTGGCTGGAAAAGGCTGGACTGAGAGACAGCACAGAAGCACTAATCATGACAGCACAGGAACAGGCACTTAGTACAAGATCAATAGAAGGAGGGGTCTACCACACCAGACAGGACCGCAGGTGCAGGCTGTGCAAAAGATGCTCCTGAGACAGTTCAGCACATAATAGCAGGGTGTAAGACGCAGGCAGGATCAGCGTACATGGAACGCTATAACCAAGTGACTGGCCAAGTGTACAGGAATATCTGCACTAATTATGGGCTGGAAGTCCCAAGGTCCAGATCCAGACTGACAAACTGGTGATGGCTAAGAAATCGGCACATCGTGTTGATCGACAAACAACAGAAGAAGGCAGTGGTGATACATGTAGCAATCCCGAGCGACAGCAACATCAGGAAGAAGGAACACAAGTAGCTAGAAAAATACCAAGGGCTCAAAGAGGGGCTAGAAAAGATGTGGGGAGTAAAGGCAACAGTGATGCCAGTGGTAATCGGAGCATTCGGGGCTGTGACCCACAAACTGGGAGAGAGGCTCTAGCAGATTCCAGGTACAACATCTGAGGTCTCTGTCCAGAAGAGTGCAGTCCTAGGAACAGCCTAGGAAACTGCGCAGAATCCTCACAAATGGCTCTGTTTAGGGGGCCAGTGTTTGGTTCGTCCAATATGGGCTACTGTAGAAACATGCCAGTTCGGCATGGCAGTTGAATGGACATGAAGACCCTCTCCTTATGTAGATATAACGGCTCATTCCAAGGTAACAAAAATTCAGTTCTTATTTTCAGGTGATTATACACTAAAGATTTTGTTTCTGCCAATATATGCCCCTAAATCCTACACACTGGACCTTATATATGCCGTACAGGGAAATTAGTTTCTACTGTAGATTACAAATACCTATACGGTAAATGTCTGATCAGAAATATTCATGAATGTGAAGTAAAGAAATAGAAGAATACAAAATGTGCTGAATTATTAAGAGAGAATTCCACACCTGTGAAAAAACATGTCAAGGATGTTGAAAGAGCGTCTTGTGTAAGGCGATATTTTCTTTCCAAATCACACTGTTCCTGTCATTCACCTCCCACAGAGGTGGGCCCCCAGTCGTAACCGAGCAGTGAGTATGAGGAGCTGTGGCCAGTGCTGTATGTGTCTACAGATTCCTCAGAGCCTACCAGCTAGCTGTGACTTTTGACAGCACACTTCCTTTAGCCCACACTAAGTGCAGAGAGAAGAATATCAGTTTATCATTTCCTGCTGTCGGACAGTCAGCGAGGGGATAAACTGTGTATGCAAACCTGTGGAACTTCCTCGAGTCAAACAACATGCTAGAGAATCAAAGTCACTTAAAAACCTCCAGGAATCCCAATTTTACCTCCAAAGCCTTTAAAGTATTATAGCTTGAAGAATAATACAGCTGCCCAAGTACTCCTTGATCTGGAGTAAATTAAAGCCAAAGAGAAACAGTTTCCTCGTTGGCAAGAAAAGAGGATGGAACAGATTCAACTTTGTGATCAGCAGAATCACAAACAAACAAATCATACTGAACCGGCCACATATGCACACGGAAACACACACACTCACAAATCCTGTTGCAAGCTATGCTCTTCCTATCATCATCTCTTTGGCCCTCTGAACCTCATGTCACTGCAATTTGCCATGCATAAGAAAAGGTTTAACTCTACAGTTATAACAATGACTCGGATCAAGATAGAATTAACTCTCCTATTTGCTCTATTAGCAGAACAAATCCACTTTGACCAGGATTCAGAAACAGGCATGAAATCCTGCATAACTGAATTTAGTCTTGTTTGTATCAAGATCAGTTTAGAGAGGAGAGTAAAGAATCACTGACACTAACTGTTGTGAAAACTGGAAGTGAATCGTGTGTGTGGCTATCCACAAGCCTCCGAGATATAGGATTAATGGCTCCGTCTCATCACGGTTGGTAAATCAACACATTTACGAGAACGTCTTACCCGCAGTGTCTGTTACATTACTCTTAAGTAAGAGCAACAACAGCTAAAGCAAACCAGTTACACTTGTTGGTTTCTAGGTCAGAAACATGACATACTGAAATAAAAACAAAAAAATCAGAGTTAGTCATCAGTGAGGAACATAAGAGGAAAAGACAGGAAAAGAAAACTAAAAGAGGAGAGAAGAGGGGAAGAGGTGTTGTTGCCCATGTGTTGGTGTGTTGTCCAGATGTTCCAGTAAACAAGCCTGTGACCTGAGGTAGGGCTAACTGATGAAAGGGATCGCCATAAAGCATCATTCCATGCAAAGTATTAGGTGACTAACACTTTTGAAATGAAGTTCAGACCTCTTTGCTTATTCCTCTGTGGTCTGAATATGACTGAAGGTCATGCTGTAGTCATTAACAGTTTTTCTGTGTTACTAAAGATAGTGTGCATTCTAAAAATCTCCCTGCAAATGTGTCTGTGTGTGTGTGGCCACGAGTCTCTGTGTGCATGCAGAGTGTGTGTATGGTGTGGATGTGGGATGTGGTGAACCAGCAGTTTTGTGACAGGGGCTGTAGTATGTGGGAAGCTAAAGCACACATTGTATGATTTTAAAGACAGATTGAGCCGTTTCATGAACACTGTTTACATGTGAATGACTCAGAAATGGTGAATGCGACAGCCACAGTGAGTCACCCGCAAGTAGACAACACGCAAACTCTTGGATGGAAAAGAAAAAGACAGCTATGTGATATCATTACTGTAAATACTACTAACAGAAGAATGTGAGGGGAAAGTCTGTGCCTCTAAATATGCTGATTGGTGGGCACAGAGGGACTCGAGGAATTCAACAAACCAGTGAAAAGAAGTGGATTTTTGGAAAAAGAAACTGACCCCCACATGCCTGGAATAATGGTTGAGTTTGTGGGTTTTATGATAACCAAAACACACAAATAAAAACATTGTTTTCAAATGGCCCATGTGGTGGAAAGGAAGAAAGTAAAGTGCTTATTGAGCTCATCTGACCAAATGGTGCTTTCATCTGACACAAAAAATTTAACGACTCTGTGGTGTGGACAGCTCAGGACACTTGTCATGCCATTTCCAAATTTAATTATGCACTATTTATTATTGTAATGAAGAGACGAAATAAAGCAAAAATTAATTCAGGAGCTACGACTAATAGCTTCCATCAGGGATGCATTAGGATTCTTCTTCTAAGATGCGCATCTGTGCAAAACAATTTGGTGACCTACTTCTAAAACTTAATCACATAAATCAGATATTGACTTGGCTGCAATTAATAATCCCTCTCCTGTCCCCGGCAATTCAATTGTGTTTTTGATGGCGTTTAACAGTGAGATAGGTGGTATTTCAGGCAGAGCACTTCCCTGAGTATTTCATGGCTGCAGTTACTCCAGGATTACATTACAGCAGATTACAGGGGGCGGAGGAGACCAAAGGGTGCGCTCAGCTGCAGGCGCGCACACAGAAATGACTCCCGTCCCTCTGCGCCTCAGACACAGTGGGCTCATCTGTGGAGTCAAACTGGAGGACTACTGAAACTGAATGTGGACTTTTTACTCTTTTGTCGGGATATTTACATTTACAGGTGCAGCAGTTTGGTTTTCTACAGCTGTTGACGCACGGTGAAGATAAACGTAGGTAAATCAGATATTTATTTTCCCCCTAATGCCTACTATCAATGCAACAGCCTGCATTATGTGCTGGTTATTACAATTTTATATATGGTGAAAATATTTATCATCTTTGCATAATATTTTTGCACGTTTTACTTTATGCCCAGTCTTACTACAAGTGCTCTTATCAGAACATTTTCCTTAATACCAAATAAGAATATATAAATGCATATGCATTCTAAATGTATAAAAGTTGTACAAATGTTATCTGCTTTATGGGATAATAGAACTTCTATCTATCTATCTATCTATCTATCTATCTATCTATCTATCTATCGTTACTCATAAGTTTCTATAACACGCTGTGCCTGTCTGTCTCCAGGTGGGTTTCATTAATGGTCCGGGACAAAGTCTAGCCTCCCCCTTGTCCGTGCAGCTGAATCCCCATCCCCGTGCACAATGAGCGTGTGTGGCTGCAGCGCCTCATACCTGCGGAGGTGGCTCCTGATGGCTCTGTTGTTCTTGGCTGCCGCGCGGCCGTCGAGCGGTGACTGCCCCAAATCATGCGCCTGCTACGTTCCCACTGAAGTGCACTGCACCTTCAGATACCTGACCGCAATACCTGACCACATCCAACCAGCTGTAGAAAGAATTAACCTCGGGTGAGCTTTCGATCTCTTTCCAGGTTTTAGCGTACTGGAGAACTGCAGGTACTCTGGGGGGAGAGTCGTTTGATTGATTTAAACCACAGACTGTCAGGTTAGAAGCAGGAATAACATTACACTGAAAATAATGTTAGCTACTGCCTGTTTAAAGTTTTAGCTAACTTAGTCTAGAGACCGTCACAGGTAGCAGGGGCGTTTCTAGGATTTGGGACATTGGGGGCTAAGCCTGAACTTTTGTAGGGGGGGTCCTCCCAAAGATAATGATGTTGATTATTATTATATTATTATTATCATTATTATTAAACAAGCAATATTGTGATGCTTCTAATGCACCCCCTTTTTGTTTGTATATAAGACAGAAAGAAAATAAGAGCATACAAATAAAATAAAAAAAAACTGAAAAAAATTTTAAAAAATTTTTCAATTTTTTCATCCATTGATCATTACGGTAGCTTGCACATCTTAAATTTATGATCTTAATGGATTAACAAAGAAAGCTAAGTTCAGCTTTTGCAAAAAGCTCTCTTAACTATATGTCGGTGAAGATTCTCAGTCATCCAGGTCATGGTAATCGTAAGTGCTAATATCGTTTCTTGAAGACGTTTCACCTCTCATCCAAGAAGCTTCTTCAGTTCTAAATGACTGGTACGAGGTTGCAGGCTACAAACCCTGTGTGGGTGGAAACCCTTGCAGAGTCGTAGGGGTCTCTTAACTATAGCTCAACAGTTATTAGCTGTAACACAAATTTAATAACCAACAGCTTTCTCCTCCTTCCAACTGGATTAACAGCTTCTGAATACTGCTGGAGCAAAATTGTCTCTCTGGTTGGCCTCTCAGAAATATGACATGCAGTGCTCCAGTCAGTTGTCCGCTTTTGTGTTTCTTCCTCTTAAGTGTGAATGTGCATTTAGACACAGTATATTGTGAAACACATAAAATAGATTCTGTGGGGCTGTTCTCCAGGTTAACATTTTGTTAAATTACCTTACCTGATGGTGATAAAGGAGTGTGGTATTAAGTTTGTCACAGAGTGTCAGTTAAAAAAAACGAAACACAAACAGAGTCTAAAAAGTTTTATCTACATATTTCAAAGATAATCCACACCTGTGTTATCCCCCACAGGTGTTTTCAATTAACCTGCCTGATTAGACCGTTTCTAAAGGTGTGATTAGACCAGCACATTTTACACAAAATGACCTCTTTGTGGCAGAAAAACAACACATTTTTTGTGATCACACTTTCAGTACTGTGTTAGCATGTAGTTTTTAGTCTGTGCCCCGATTCATGTCTTCAGTTACCTGTTAGGGACTTCAGTTTAAATTAAACCTGCAGAGAGGCCTAATCAGCCAGTTTAACTCAAAACCCTGTGTGAAAGTGCAGGATCTTTAACTGAAGCATCTCCATACCTCAAATAAAATCTTCTTGGAAAATATGTTGAGTGTACACAAAAAAAAACAAACTATAGGGCAGTTGTCCTTAAGATATTGTTAGAATTGCTAGATCAGGGGTGTCCAAACTTTTTTGAATGGGGGCCAGATAAAACAATGTAAAAAATACCTGGGGGGCCAACTGATTCTTGCACCAAATGGGTTTAAAAAAATAAGAAATAAAGTGAGACAAATACAACCATTTTGATCTTTTAATGAACTATTAACTGTATGATAGTCCTATCATTGTGAGGTGAAGGGTAAAAATGCAAAGTGATCTTGCTCGATTAACCATTATTGTGTAAAGGGCCACATATGGTATATTTAGAAAGTCAAGCCGAGGGCCGATTAAAATTGGTCTGCGGGCCACAATTGGCCCCCGGGCCAGACTTTGAACATACCTGTGCTAGATGAATATTACAGTTAATATTTCCTGTCAAATGGGGTGATGATGAAAGTAACTGATTGCTTTGCTGGAATGGGCATCAAGTATTAAGTTTGTGCAGCACTGATACTTAATATATAATATTAAAGGAAATACACACCTGTCATTCGTCTGTTCATCATCTTAGACCTCTACTCATGACTCTATGTGTATTTAAAGACTGTGCTTAATCGAAATCTCCCAAACTTTTAATACCTGTTAGGGCAGGACATTTTAACAGTAATTGTTTCTTGTAAGAACATGCATAATGATGGCATCCTCAATCATGTACAAGCATAGCTCTCTCATCTTCAACCTGAGCAGAGGTCTAATGTGTAAACACTTGCGTGGGTGTGCAGGGCTTTAAATGAGACTGTTTTCATTATCCATTAATAAAGTAGTGTGTAGTACACTTGAGCTGATAAGCTAATGTTTCTTTTTCATGTCTCTGTTTTTAGGTACAACAGTATAACTGTCTTGAGAGAAAGTGATCTTTCAGGACTTGAAAACTTGGAGTTGTTGATGCTGCATAGCAACACTATCCACAGTATTGAGGACAGAACCTTCCAAGACCTCAAGTCCTTACAGGTAAAATCATGTGTTTGTCAAACTCAAATTATACTGCTGCCCTCACAACATTTAATGGTATCCCTCAGTAATGTGCTGTTGGGCGTTAGCATAGTTTTAAGTCAACATTCTTTTGACAAACATCTCTAGCTTCTCAATCATGTTCTGACAGGTCCTGAAGATGTCCTTTAATAAAGTAAAGGAAATCAAGAAAGAGACGTTCAAAGGCCTGGAGAGTCTCCTGAGACTCCACATGGATCACAACCACATTGAGTTCATCAGTCCAGAGGCTTTCTATGGCCTCACCAAGCTACAGTTGGTCCATCTGGAGGGTAACCACCTCCAGCAGCTCCACCCAGACACATTCATCACACTGAGACACAGCCAGGTGTTCAAGGTGTCCTCAGTGAGGAACATCCACCTGTCAGACAATCTCCTCACCACTCTGCCCGCAGATATTTTCTTGGGTTGCAGCCAGTTAGAGAACCTCTTCCTTCATGGCAACCCATGGATTTGTGATTGCCGTATGAAGTGGTTTGCAGTGTGGACACAGAGGAACACAGGTGAGGACTGTGTGTTTGCCTTGGAATTGGCAATTAGGGATGTGTACGGTTGTCACATTTTTACATACAGTACAAGTGAAGGAAACCCCTGGTTGGTAAATGCATTAGTACTTTAATGGGTTATTCTACACAGAATTAAAGTGACATGTTTTCCTCCTACAAATTAATAGTGTGTGGATTTGAATCCAAAGCAAGAAAGTTATATCCAAGAGAAACATATAAATCTTTGCAGAGATATCACTAGAGGCAGGGGTGTTATCTTCCTCCCCTCATGAGGGCCTCAGATAACACCAGTGGCACAGAGGAACAAAAGTTATGCCATTCATTCATGACTTGGCCAATGTAAAAGTCAACTCATAAATTACAATCCTGTATGATGATGATCTTTTCTGGGTCACAAGTTTTACTGCTTCGATTTGGCTGCTCCATAATGTGGAAACTGTAAATGTTCTTTTCTTACATGTAATCAACTTAACGCTACACCACTTGATTTAAATGTTTCCAGGTGTGCTGAAATGCAAGCGAGACAGGAGATATCCGAGAGGCCAGCTGTGTCCTGTTTGTGCAGATCCTGCCTCTTACCACAACAGACCTCTATCCCTTCTCTCCAGTGACACCTTCACTTGTGCCAAACCCTGGATCGAACCCCATCTAAAGTTGAAGAACATCACTGTGGATGAGGGAGACTTTACTCCAGTATCCCCCAAGGACTTCATTGCCCCATTAGGGTCCATGCAATTGAACCTGACTGACCAGTATCACAACGATGCCAGTCTATCCTGCACTGTCCAGAGGCCCTCTGCTTTCGAGAACTTGACACAATCCTTGGAAGTGGAGGAGGCAAACAATGTCACTGTGATTACCACTGTCATAACAACATATTTGGTGTGTAACATTGACTATGAACACATACAGCAGCTGTGGCAGATCCTGGCCACCTACAGTGACTCTCCCATGACACTGGAGAGAGGCTTTATGCTGGCAAGAATCCCAGAAATGATATTCAGATATAGTCAGATGAAAACAAAGGAGGGAGAGGAAGGAATTCACACAAACATTGTAGCTGACATTAAAGCCTCCCCTGCATGGTTGATGCAGGGGGAGATAAGCTTTCAGCTTGACCGCACTACTACCACTTTCTCTACTCTGCACATTAAGTACCAGTCTGCAGTCAACCTACGTGTGGAAAACACAGTACCCAAAAGGGACCGCTACTCCTGGACCATGATCAAGCGAGATAACCAAACCAAGACTGAGCACGCTGTAGTCACAGGTGGGAGTTAGAGATTAATGCTTAATTGCTGATTTGACCTTCACTTCAGTCTACATTTACCTATTGTTAATTTCCTAAATGATGCATAAAAATCTACTGATAAAAATTACTTTTTTTTTTTTTTTTTGGACATAGGTGGTGTGGTGCAATTAAACTGTCAAATCCGGGGTGAACCAAAGCCTTTGTTGGAGTGGATTTTACCAGATGGAAGTAAGGTCAGAGCTCCATACTCCAGTGAGGACAGGAGGATCATAATCACTGCTGAAGGGAAGCTTACTGTACGAGGTGCAGATGCCTCAGACACTGGCCTCTACCGGTGCATCACCACAAACTACCTGGATGCAGACATCCTCATCTTTCGAGTGACAGTTCTGTCCCCTGATGTGGAAGAAGCTGAGGTCAACGGTGTCCAACTCTCAAGGCCACTGGGTGGAAATTTGGTTTTGGACTGTAGCTCTTCAGGAAGTCCTGAGGCCTCGGCACAGTGGGCACTCCCTGACCATTCAGTTCTGGATAAGTCTCAGGGAAACAGGAAGGTGTTTGAGAATGGAACCTTGCTGATTCAGGGTCTCACAGAAAGGGACAGAGGATTTTATAGATGTTTGGTTTCTAATCACATGGGAGTTGATCTTCTTGTTTCTCAGGTAACAGTGACTGGAGAAATGTCTGAAAAGATGACTGTTTTGGACAATGAGGGATCAGGGGTAAAAATGGAGGACAAGGTTGACCCTAGTTTGACTGAAAACACAGTCACACTCAACGAGATCCCCTCTTCCAGCCCCTTTGACAAAACTAGTCAGGAATCCAGGACCATCACATCAGATCGACCTTACCCCAGACTCAGGTCAAGAGGCAGGGGAGGTGCTGGAGGTAGGCTGGGACAGAGAAGGAGGGGGCCAGTAAGCAACAGACGCATCTGGGGTAGTAGGGTGTTTGATAAAGCTTCCAGGAAAGTGGATCCACAGAAATTTGCTGAATATTTGAAAAAGGCTCAAGATGGATCAAGAATAAAGACTGGCACAAACAAGGGGGAAAAATATGAAGACTCAAACACTGGTGTTTCTGGTGATGGTGAAATTGGCTCTGGTAATGACCATGGTGAAGATCATCTCATCATTGTGCCAAGTACAGTCAAACCAACTACAGATGATCTACAGAAACACAGAATATTTGGACAAGAGAACGAGGAGCCTGAAGCTGTAACAGACACACAGGCAGGTCAGGGTAGTTTGATTGATTTTAGTCAGGTGACAGAAAATACAAACACACCAACAAAAGAGTTGTATATGCAGTCAGATTCTACACCAATTAGGTCGACATTTATACACCATCCAACAGAATGGGATGAGAGTCAAAGTGATGCAGTTACACCTTATAATAAAATTTCATACAACGCAGACCTTTCTAGTTTTGATGAGACCAGTGATTCTTATACCCTGGAAAGAACTACCAAGCCAGATTCAAACAGGCGCCCAGTCACTCTCCAACTTACTGTGACAGACAGGTCACAAGAAACTCAGCTCCAGTTCTCAGGAGAACAACCTGCAGAGCCAGAGACATCCACTGGAGCAGCGCTATCATTTACCACAGACCCTCATGTCACTCCCATGAGGGATGGCCCAGGCCCAGTGGAGCTAGTCGTTCACACCTCCACAGATCCAGAAAGCCAGACAACATTCACAGCAGTCACAACCACAGAGAGGCAGCAAGATGAGATAACCTTCCACACTACCCAGACAATCAAATCCCCTCGCCTACCAGCAGGATCCACCATTATCTCCCAGCAACAAATACATATCATCCCACGCAAGAACGGCAGAGGAGGGGGGCGCAGGAGGACCTTCCAAGGCCGCAGGAGGATTGTTAAACCCAACAGGATCACTGACATACAGTCCTTCATCAATAAACTTAAACAGCCCTCTTTGAAGAAGGAAGGGAATGCCACTGTGCCTTACAGAATTGAGCTGACCACAGGTAAGCAACCTTGTTTTTATAAGCAATTGTTTGGTGTGTGGTTCTTTAGCTGATATTTTGCATATCTGTGTTTCCTTTTCCTTTTTTCTTTACTTTTCCCTCAGACTGTGACTGTGATGAAGACAAAAAGAAGGCAGCAACTAGTCATCTGCAGGTGGTCAAACCAACAGCTCCCTCCAGCTCATCTTTGCACATAACAGAGAGACCTGCCTCTTATCAAAAAACTGCAGCTTCTAGTTCAAAAGCCCCCTCCACCCATACCGAGTCGAGGTCAGAGGCTTTCAGTAACTACATAACCTCTGCTGATGCTCCTGAGTTTGACCCTACAATAGATCCATTTTTGATAGACAAAAAAACATCAGCCTCCACCACAACCACTACAACAACAGCCTCTAAGGTCATCCGTGGAAAAATTCCATGGAACAGGCTGTTTGGAGGCAGAGAGAGAGAAGATATACTGAGCAGGCTAAGGAAGCCACCCAAAAAAACCTCGACTACAGCTGAAACTACATCAGCAACCCCAACCACAACCCCTGCTGCAATGCCCACCACCACCGCAAACTCACTTTCTGAACCTGAGACTCTGTCCCCATCCAGACACACACAGAGCAAAGAGGGCTCATTAGATGATGACTATGGAGAATCTTCCTCTGTAGATTTTAAGTCCACAACACTGGGACCCAGCTTTCACTATCAGAGTACTACCAGCCCATCCTATTACTCCAAGGCTGCAACCACTGTGGAAACACCACCAGAATCACAGACTCTACCCTCCCCACCTACTGTCAGACCACCTTCATATGAAAAACCTGATGACACCTTATCATCTGGGTCTGGGGGACTACCTGATAATTGGTTTGTGGTCAGACAGAGGCCTGGTGGGACTAGAGGACGGCAAGGGCGAAGAAGAAGGCCATTAAGGGGTAGGAGACCTTTCAAGAAACCTGCAATCACCAAATTGCACCCTATTACCACAGCTGAGGCTTTAACTACAACTATGGAAGCTACAGTGGAGACTACTACACTACCACAATGGACTGTTTCACCCTACAAGCCCCTTTACATACCATCTAGGAAAGAGGACGGAACTCCAGTAGTTGTTTCCACTGACCATACGTCAAAGGAAGAGACTGACTTATATGAGGAATCTGACTGGAGCACATCTAGCAATTCACCAGCCTATACTACAACCAAAACTCCTTTAATCCCTTCCACCACACTGGCCCCCACCACTACATTCATGCCAATTACCACAAAAGTGCCCTACACAACAACTCGGACCAAAGTCCACAGCAATATCAGACCACCAACACAGCGGAACAGTGGTTACGCCACTCGCAGGCCGCCAATGAGGAGAATCAGACCTACTGTGCAGAGCAGTGTTGCCAGAGACATTGGAAACAAAGGCCTTGACATACTGGTCATACTTATAGGTGAGCAGGGAAACATTAACGGCCCTGCCCCATACAACAACATAGGCTCACACAATGCCATCACTAGTGTTTATGATCATGTCACTGGCAATGAAGCTGGCTTTGAACCCACTACAGAGGCCATGACAAGCAAACCTAAGATAGTTGGGGGCAATGCTGCCAGCTTCACTGTGTTATCCAACTCAGACGCGTTCCTGCCATGTGAGGCTGTTGGAGACCCTCAGCCAAGAATAACATGGAAGCGCCTCTCCCCAACCACAGGTAGAAAACTATTTCATCAACTGTTATCATTTAGAAAAACACAACATCTACAGTAGACATGATTCAGGTGTAGGGTACGCATATTTTAAAAAGCCAAATGAAAACACAACAAATTCTCACTCCCAGCTGGTCAAATACTGATGCTTGGTCATTGGCCCTAGACGTCAACCTATGACATTCAAGGTACCCCTCCAGCGTCAGTATTGAACACTGAGGGACAGTCAGTTTACTCTCAACAGACCTTGTGCTTTTTCCATAAAAACTTCAGCTTTCCTAAGAAATGTAAAGTTTCCACTTGTTAACGCTTTGGTTGACATTTTGTTGTTGTTGTTAATCTGTATTTGTGTCGGTAATGTTGTAAATATTGTTTTAGGAAATTTTTAAGTTTAATGTTTCTTAAAATAAATTCTCTTTCTCATTCCTTCAGGAAGCAGTGTTACAGTTATTGGGAGGATGGGCAAGTTCGAAGTGTTGAGCAACGGCACGCTGTTGATCCAGAATGCTAACATTAAGGACCGTGGCCAGTACGTCTGTCTAGCTGAGAATGATCATGGATCAGACAAACTCCTCGTCACCCTCTCTGTGGTGGCCTATCCCTCACGCATCCTGGAGCCTAAATTGCGTGAGATAAAGTCTCATGCAGGAAATACTGTAGAAATGAAATGTAAAGCAGAGGGTCGGCCCACACCCATGATCTCCTGGATCCTGGCCAACCGAACCCAGGTCAGGGGTCACAACACGGAGAGGGAAAGGGTATCTGTATCTGCTGACGGGACTTTGGTCATTGAGCAGGTGTCTGTTTATGACAGGGGTCATTACAAATGCATCGCCAGTAATCCAGCTGGAGCTGATACTGCAACAGTCCGACTGCAGGTGGTGGCTGCTCCCCCAGATATCGTAGAGGACAAACGGCAGCAGGTGAAAGTAGGTGTTAGCCAAAACTTGTGGCTACCCTGCACTGGCCAAGGCAGCCCTCAACCTACTATTCACTGGGTCCTCCGTGATGGATGGATGGTGCGAGCTGACAGACCTGCCCGTGACACAAGGATATCAGTGTATGGGAATGGAACCCTACACATTAAGGATGTGACTAAAGCTGACAGTGGCAAATATGAATGTATAGCTACCAGCTCCACTGGCTCAGAGAGAAGGGTGGTGACTCTTACAGTAGAGAAGCAAGAGTCTGCACCTCAAATAGTGGAGACATCCCAGCGCATGACACAGTTGTTCTTCGAGGATCAGCTAAGACTGAACTGTTCAGCTATAGGAGACCCCAAACCCAGGATCATCTGGAGGCTGCCCTCCAAAGCTGTGGTGGACCAGTGGCACAGGTAAAAGTTCCTCTGTCAGTGGTAGTAATACACAAAGGGCATAGATGGTAGCATTTACAGGGAATTTATGAGTAAAACCTAAAACAGACATTGCTAATGAGGAAAAATTAGGGGTGCTGCACTGGGTCAATAAAAGAGGTGTTTGTGATGTTGAAATGAAAAAAAAAAATCACATGGAGACTTTACAGCTTACTTAGAATGGAAGTCCATTGTACTAGTTAGCAGTCTGAAAAACAAATGAGGCGCTCTGATGGGATGATAAAAAATTATTCTAAATCCATATTTCAACTTAAAAAGTCATCATTGGGGTATGATTGCTAATATTTTGGACATTCACAATTTCAGATATCCCCAAAATAGAACACCTGACACTGGAAATATATGTTTACGAAAAGTAGATTGAAGGATACACTATATATTTTAACAATTTGTATGATCTCTCCCTCAATGCAAAAACAAACAGCCAAAAGCAGCTGAAAGCTTGTTATTTTCAAGAAATGCATGACAATGCAGTACTAGTGGCCTTGGCTTGGTTTACTGGTCAGTTCATAATATCTTAAGCCTTTTCAACTTCCCCAGTGATTTTATGTACATGTTTGTGTAAGTAGTTAATTCAGCTTTCTTCTTTTTATTTTTTGATGATTTGTAGGTTTTCTTTGCAACCACAATGTTCTCATTTAAGTTTTCTTTTATGTGGTTTCCTTTTATTTTATAGCTGTAATAAAAAAAAGCATTTGCTGTTATTACAGACATCACTGTAATGTGTGAAAGCACAAGACACGATGAAGAATTTAATTATTGGAGTGCACCGCAAAAGTCGTGTCATAAGGCAATTATTTTTCTAGATAAGTTCCTATCAACAACTTTATGAACTCTCAAAAAAGCATGGCCCAGGAATTAAAGTATTTGCAGAATTCTCAAAATACCAGTTTTATAACAGTACAGAAACGCATACAGTGATATTATATTACTCATTGACCTTGTCATGAATGAAAAGTGCTCACTTGTATTTGACAAGGCTGTATTCTGTCCTCCCAGAATACTAAGTCCAGTTTTCTGTCATGTATTTTTCCAGGATGGGCAGCAGAATTCAGGTCTTGGATAACGGTACTCTTATTGTCAGCTCTGTGAGTGATAAAGATGCTGGAGACTATCTCTGTGTGGCACGAAACAGAATTGGTGATGATCTACAATTCATGAAGGTCAGTGTGTCAATGGAGCCTGCCAAGATAGAGTCCAAACTCTATGGAAAGAAGCAGGTACCTTTTGGTAAGGACTTTAAAGTTGACTGTAAAGCCTCAGGAATACCAAAGCCAGAGATCTCTTGGGGCTTACCGGATGGTACAGTGGTCAACAGTGCTTTTCAGTCTGATGCCAGCAGTGGAGGAGGGCGAGCACGGAGGTTTACACTTTTTGACAATGGAACGCTCTACCTAAACCAGGTATGCAATTGCATGTCATCTTATTTTATGAAACACAAAAAAACTTTTCAAAAGATTTACATCAGTGTTTTGTGCTTCTCCAGGTTGGTATGTCAGAGGAAGGGGACTATACCTGCTATGCTGAGAACCAGGTGGGCAAGGATGAGATGCATTTACATATCACCGTAGTGACCGCTGCCCCTAGGATACGTACAACTAGCCAGACATATGCCAGGGTGAAGCCTGGAGGCAACATCCGCTTTGACTGTGAAGCACTTGGGGAGCCCAAACCCAAAATACTGTGGATGCTGCCCACCAATGATGTCATTGCAGCATCTAATGAACGCTACCTAATGCATGTCAATGGCTCCCTGGATATCAGGGATGTGAAGCTTATCGATGCTGGAGAGTATGTTTGTATGGCTCGAAATCCTGCTGGGGAAGATAGAAAAGTCTACAAGCTTGATATAGAAGGGAATCCACCAGTGATCAATGGCTACCGGCAGAACAGGACTGTAATCAAGGATGTGGCAGCTAAATACTCTAGGAAATTAATAGACTGTAGGGCTGAGGGCGATCCCACACCGAGTATCACTTGGATTATGCCCGATAACATCTTTCTAACAGCACCATACTTTGGTAGCAGGATTAGTGTCCACCATAATGGGACATTAGACATTCGTAATGTGCGGCCGACTGATACAGCTGAGTTTATCTGCATGGCGAGGAATGATGGAGGAGAGGCCGTAATGGTGGTGCAGCTGGAGGTGAGCAGTGTCCTCCGAAGACCAATCTTCAAGAACCCTTTTAACGAACGTATTGTGTCTGGAATTGGAAAAACCACAGTTCTGAACTGTTCTGCTGATGGATACCCATTGCCAGAAATCACTTGGACTTTGCCGAATGGAACACGGATTACGGGTGGTCACCACCTAGTTAACAATGGGACTTTAGTCATCTACAACACTGGCAAAGAAAATGTTGGAAAGTACCGCTGTGGTGCCAAGAATTTAATGGGTTACATAGAGAAGCTTATAATTTTGGATGTTGGACAGAAGCCTTACATCCTGACAAGGCCTAGGGGCATTATACGTGGTGTGTCTGGAGAGCCTCTTTTCCTTCATTGTCTATCTGATGGGAGTCCCCGACCCAGAATCTACTGGACCATTCCTGGTGGCCACACTCTTACTCGCCCTCAAGTTCTTGGACGCTACCAGTTACTAGAGAATGGTACTTTGGTTGTTCAGGATACTACTCTCCATGACCGGGGGAACTACGTCTGCAGGGCTCGGAGCGATGCTGGGGAGGCTGTGCTTACTGTCCCTGTTATTATCATTGCCTACCCTCCACGGATCACAACAGGGCCACCTCCTACTGTGAGGTCACTGACCGGAACACCTATCCAGCTCAACTGTGCTGCCACTGGGATCCCCAAGCCAGAGATCACCTGGGAGTTGCCCGATCGTTCAGTTCTGTCAGCGGCACAACAGGGTCGGCCTATGGGTAGCGAATTGCTCCATCCTCAGGGCACACTTATCATTCAAAGGCCCAAAGCCTCAGACTCTGGCATATACAAGTGCCTGGCAAAGAACCACCTGGGTACAGACTCAAAGATCACATATGTACATATATTGTGAGAAAAAAGACAAGACTGAGGGAGGGCAGTGGCAGATCCGAATGTAAACATTAACAGACACAGTCACTTGTGTCTGCAAGGTACAGTGCATGTTTTCTCACATGTGGATTTGTGAGAATCAGGGCTTGTGGAATATTGTTTTTAAAAGTGACAAAAGTGGATTAAAAAATAAACAGAGCACAAGGAGAGAAAGGAAACAGACATTTTATAGGGAGAAAAACATGTTTTTTTAAACTAGAAAAGCTAGCCTGGGGCCAGTAGTTGTTATTGTAACTTTGGGACTGGGGGTCTGGAAATTCATAGGTGGTTCTCATTTGGGGTAGTTCTCACGGGAGCAAGAAGGCCAGTGCATAGAGGCAAACTTGAAGTGATTTCTCTGACCAGGCGTTGCTGGCCACACATAGGGATACCATTACAACACATACAGAGACAGAGAAAAAAAAAAAGTGTAATAGATTGAAAGAGTGAAAATATGCTCCCAAGAGGCTTTTAACTTCCTTCAGACGCTGGTCAGAAGTTGTTGCTGTCATGACACATTGCTTTGTCAATTTAAAGCAAATGAAAAAGACAACAAGCAGTGTATATAGTAAAATATCTTTCAAGAGTAATTTGTGGAATTTAACAGGAAGAAAATAGATTTTTTTTAAATATATGAGGCTTGTTTTACACTGGATACATACCTGCATGGACGGTACAATGAACTTCTTTATTATGCTTTTTATATTTTGATGACAGTTTAAAGCAGATTCCTTCATGTCTATTCACAGTGCAGTTCATTGGTCAAAAACCCCAAAAACAAACAAAACACACTATCAATCTATTGTGTTGTACACAAGAATGTACAGTAATGTTATACATTATGCTAATCTGTAATAATACAGTATATGTATGTCTATTTGTAGTATCTACTTTATCAAAGTATGGGAGACAAAATGAAATTTAAAAGGAAACAGAGTCCATGTCTTTTCTTAATGTTTTAATTGCACTATTTGATACACCAGAATCTTTATAATGAGATACGTGTCATATATATATATATATATATATATATATATGACACACATATATATATACACATATAGACACATATATATATATACATATATATATGTATATGTATATGTATATACATATATACATATATACATATATACATCTCTGCTGAAGTTACACAGGAGCAGTAGTTATTCAGCTATTATAATGCTGCTGTAATGAAGGTCATTAGGATTATCTAGTTGCACCTCACCCTACAGGAGGAGGTCATGCCTCTGGCTGCAGTGGAAATCTTCCAGACACACACAATTTTTTTTTAACTCTCCAGCTGTGAAAACAGTTCCTTACCTAGCTCTTCAATGCACAAGACCCAAGGGGGAGCCTTTGATTTTCGTTTGTGATTGAGTGCTGATTTTACTGCCCTCCTGCAAATTAGACAGAGAGATGAAGGTGGATGCTAAGGAAGACAGGGGGGACAGAGACAGACATTTTTAATTAAAATATGTATGTAATTGATTTGGTGTAATATTCCTGTTTCCAAGTGTGTAGTCTGAGAAAAGGTAGGAATTTTACATGCAACACAAAAGATAAATTAACAATGGTGAATTAATGCCCTTGAGATATGGTAAAATTGAGATGGTCTACAATATAGCAGTGTTTGCTCTCTAACTGCTGAAACTAAACTCTTTTTTCGTGGTATTCATGAAGACAAATACCCCTCTATTCCTTAAGGGCAACAACTGGAACCAATTTCTTAGTAAATTGCACCAATTGTGAATTACCTATAATGATGCACATTTAAAATAGGCTAAAGCTTCCTTTTTGCAAAGCCAAATAAATAATAATGTGACTTCTGCTGAGGTTATATCTTTTTACACTAATGAGGGACACAAGACAGAAAACAGAAAGACTACATTAAATAAAGGAATCGATTCTGTGTCCCATAAGATACAATTGTAGGTTGATACAGAGTTACACTTTTAAATCCACTACATTATATGTGATTTGGATAGAGACATAAAGTTGTAAATAAATCATCTGAACTTCTTTCTATACCTGGCAAAGGGTCGTATCATAAAAGGTTTCTGATAAAGAGATATCAGCAGTGTCCTCCCACTTTAAACACAGTCGTTAAACACATAATTAATTTAAAGCTGCTTCCAATACCTAACAGCTGTATTTTAACGGAGATTCAAAAAAGAGGTCAGCGGTTAGTTCTCAAGTGTGTGCAATCCAATAAATCAATTTTTGAGGTCTCAGAAAAACAAATTTTTTCCAAAGTGAAGAGCCAATCTACACCAGTGTGATATGACGCAGACAGATATGGGGAAAGAGGGAATTGTCCTCCATAAACTTTGGAATGCAGGCTGCTTGCTCCATGATCTGAGAGAAAACTGCTTTCATATGTGAGGCAGGCAGCAACCACACACAAATTAAACTAATGAAGTGATGTCTTTAAAAACCACCACTAATTTTTATGCATGGTTCCTCAAAGCGAAAGACAGTTCATCATGTGCACCATGTGCCCTCACTGGACGGTGCAGAGTTTATTTGTTCAGTTCTGGTTTTGCCGTTCATGTTTGGAGAACGAGTTTGCTGTTCACTGATTTGGATATTTATGAGGATTTATGCGATTTTCCCTTTTCCTCCTTTCCTCTTGGGTGTTTAAAGGAAAAGAGTTGAAGTCTAACACGTACGGTTTAAAAATATGGTTTTATGAGAAGCTCCTGAAAGAACCAGTGTGTGTTTTTTGTGTCTGGGTGAATTTCACCTGAACCAGGTCATATATACTGTACCCCTGAACCCAATTTCTGGTCACAGCTGTTAAAGTGAGACATGTCAACATGAAAAGCTGCACTATCAATAACATTTTACAGGATGAATAAACAAAACCTGTCATTACACTAGATGAGGTAGGTAAAAGTATGGGCACTCCCTAGCCACCTCGAAGATTGTGGGAAAACATCTGCACAGAATCAAATGACCCTTTTGCTGCAAGATTGTCCTCATTACCCCACCGTCCACCTTCTCAGAGGGACTCACAATATACACAAGTTAAGTTATAATTACTGGTAGCAGATTGTTGATTTTTCAGGTTTATTTACCTCTACTTTTTTTTTTTTTAATCTGAATTCAGCTGCCAACTTACTATGCAATATTAGACCACCAACACAGGCTTTACCCTAACATAAGCTGTTTTTGGACCAAACACTTGCACCAAACAGGAAGTGCCCACTGGGGAGCTCCCGCAAGAAATACATACCTTGAAGGTCTTTTTTTTTTCCTGTTTGCATTTACACCACTAATTGGAACTCCGAAGTTATGTACTTCAGAAACATCAATTTGGCTTTGACGAACCAAAATTGCCTTGAATTTCCTGGTTGCATATATGCTCAGTAAAGCCTGAACTTCATTGACGGTCCATTTGTCCATGTTTTCTTCCATATTTTTTCATCATGAGCTGTTGTTTGTGTTGTTGGACCAATCACCATGCCCTTTCATCACCCATGATTCCTCTTGTGTTGGGAGACTACCTGCTCTGAAAAAAAAAATGCGTTCTAAGAACTACAATCATTCCTAGTTCTTGCTGATAGGACAGAGCAAAGACGAGGGTTCCTATGAAAAAGGTTCTCTGGTCCGAAAACACCTATATTTTCTAAACTATGCCTAAACTGCTTGGAGCATTTAAAGGATCACTTTGCCCATCTTCAACCAGGTTTGGGCCACCACACTGTGGGGATGCATTTCACATCATCTGGTAGATTTTAGCTGGCGAATGGGCAGGACCTCTGTGAGCCTGTGGCATGGGGGGCACCAACCATCTGCACACACTCACTATACTGCATGACATAGACCTATTTGAAAATCAGCAAAGCATCCCTTTAACAACAGTGGCTTTGTTCAACCAGCAGTTCCTACTTTTGTATTTCCCATGTTTCCACCAACCATTGGGAGGCCAGGTCTGTTCAGTCTTTCAATGCAGCATTGACTCTACTTTAAAATATACTTCTCAGCTACTAAAACACAAGTCTATGTAATGTATGTTTTATGTGTTTAGTGTGCCAGGGTTTTTATCTTGTACACTTTTTGCAGCAAATCCCATTATTTTTCATTGGAGTATCGATATTTAAGAATTCCAATACCAATATATCAAGAGATAGAATTTTGTTTAATACGCACACATAGCAAATGCAAATAATCTTGATATGGACTGATTAGATATTGTTTCTTATTAGCTGACAGAAACCCTGATACTAATATATTTGCAATAAGCTAATATAGGCCGATATATCTGCCTTGAGAAAAATACATCTGAAAGGAAAGAAACTACTGGATTAAAATCTGAGTGAACACTAATGATGCTCTCTAACTGCTAGATAGTGATGTGACGTTCATGAATTAGCCGAGTCTTTGAACCGGCTCTTTGAAGCGAATGAGTGAACCGGCTCTTTAGAGTGAACGAGCCAGTTCCTAATTCTTCGTGTTTTTGTTTAGTTTACCCTGTATCCATTAATCTCAGATTATTTGATCCGTAACAAGTTGAGAGAGAGAGAGTTTTTGAGGGAGAAAGACAGTGCAGCCGCTCACTCATTCACTTCAAAGAGTCGGGTCAAAGACTCGGCTCGTTGGCGAACGTCGCCCCAACGACCCACTATCCACTAGCACTTGCTTGTATTGACAGGCTTATTGTTTATAAAGGCCGTTGCTATGGCTACACCAAACTTTATTTCTGCGGAGTCTTTTCTGGGTCCAAAGAACCGGCTCTCACAAGTGAACGAGAAATCCCATCACTACTGCTGGACGTGTAGGTACACAAATGTTTGCTAACATGTTGGCCCTCAAGTCACCAAAAACGAACTAATTGCTGATATTGCTGGGTATGTAGTCATGCACATGTCTTTTGTTGCAAAATCTAACTGTTGCTAATATTTTTTTTATATTTTTTTTAACAAAACTAACTTTTGATTGACATTAAATACATCTTTAAATTATTGTTGGTACATGTTTGCTTCAAAGACCTTTTTACTGGTCACAGCAAATGAAAATGAAAATGAAAATGAGTGTACAATCTAAGTTATTATGTCTGTGTGTGGGCAATACCTGAATGAGTAATGGCAAACAGTTTAAAAAAAGAGGAAACTTAGAGCTCAGTGTGAAAGGAAAGATAAAGTCCTCAGAGACAGTAGACGAGGGAAACCAGAAAGGTTGAGACATATTTTTGGTCTGTGGTGTGAATTCCATACTTAAACTAAACCTCTAGCAGCCTGAACATGGAAACTGAGATCTCAGGAGAGGTGTGCTGGGAGCCGACCAGCAGCACTCCGAGACAGTACTCCTCTGTTAGCTCAGTGTCTGTCTTATTTCTTTGATGCTGCAAACTTGGCAATGAGAATGAAGTGGACCTTCATTTTTGCTGCAGTTGAAGCCTATAGTCAGAAAAGGCTTTTGAAATAAGCAAAGTGGGTCTGTACGTTACAGACATGGCCTTGATGATGCACACACACGCTTGCTCGTACAGTAGATGGACGACTCTCTCAGTACCTGTGACGATGCTGGAATTTCACACCAGCATTGTAGAATCCACACATCCACCTTCCAGCCACAAGTTAGACAGATTCATCTTTGCACCTCTCTCCCAGGTAGGACCTGTCATGCTGTGATGGGGGTTCCAGGTTTCTCAGACTGTTGCTTCTCAGGAAAGAACTCACTTTTACCAGGAGCTAACACTTGGCCAATGGAAAGGGAATGGAAAATATGCAGATATCAGTTGTCGTGTTGTTCCTGCGGTTGCAATTACAACATAGTTGATTTGTAGTGGGACTCTCTGTATGAAAGCTCTCAAGGCCTTTTTATTCCTCAGATATCAGCTGCAAGTGAGCCTGTAAGCACTATAAGCTGTGTATTAGAGCCAGGTACAAGGGCAAAGGTCCAATCGTAAATCAGCTGACTTT